TCTTCTGTAGGACTCATCTATTTGCCAGATCGGAGACCGTCCAGTTGAGTTCTCTAGAGTCCAGCCTGGGCTGCTCTCCCCAGTACTCCCAGATCTCTCCTTATGAAGGCTGGCAATGGTTCCTCCATGGCTCTTCCCACTGTCATTGGAGAGAAAGCCTTGCTGAAGTCTTAGAACTAGAAGAACTTGACTATGTCCCACTTTCACCTCTAACACATGGACTGAACCTCAGTAAATGAAGAGCAGTTCCCACCACGTGCAACACTTTTCTACAGCACTTTTAATGAGTGCCCAGAGCTGCCTGGAGTGGCTGGTTGGTTAGGTAATAGACATACTCTTCTCCTCCCCACACTCACCCACAGCTGCTCCTGAGGCATCCACTCTCTCTGGCTGGTCAGGGGACAGCAGGGGACAGGAAGAAGGACAGGAGTCCTGGGGAGGGCGTTGCAAGAAGGGCTGCTCCATAGCTAAGGGTATGAGGCCCTGGGACACCCTGGGAAGGATCTGGGGCAATGAGTCTTCTGTGGGTGCTGGGGTGCTTGGGAGCAAGGCTCTCAGAGGCAGCTCTCCAGGGGATTTCCAAAATCGGGAACCACTGGTGTGACCCAGGTCTCTCTGAGCAAGGAGCATTTTGCATTTCCTTAGAGGCTCTTGTCCCGAATGCTCTCAGGCCCCAAAGTCACCAAAGTGTGCCCCTCATCCATGCAGGGCTCTATGAGTGTGATCACAGAGCAGTCTGGTGGTTTGACAGTCATTGCAGAGTAAGTTATGTAATTTGCAAAGTCAAGCACAAAACATAAATAATCACTTTGTCTTTAATTTTCTTTCTAAATACAGAGCATAAAACTTTGAGGGAGTCACTTTCAATTCCAAAAGAATTAGGAACCATTGCCATGGGGCAGCATTTTCTGAAGTACATTTCAAGTTATATTAGCTCATTGAGATGTTAAGAGCTGATGAATGTGTGGGGGAGGGAATGGGGTTGTGTCTTCAAATACAGTTGAGAAAGGCTGCCCATACTTCTTTCCTCCTAGAAATACACAATACTGTAACTGCTCCCATGTTAAAAGCCTATGATGACCTCCTGCAGCAATTCTCAAACTTATTTGATAGATCTTTTTTTAAAAAAACACAAAACAAAACACTTAAAGTCTCATGGAGCTATATCTATAAAACAAACATTTTTTTAGCAAGCAGCCACAAAACTGGTTCATACAAACCTTTCTGTAAAATCAATGAAAGCCCAGCTCTCTGTCCTTTAAAGAGCTCTTTTACCTTCCAGGAAGGATCTGCTCAAGGAAAATGCAACATTCTAGAGGCAGGATTCAGTTAGACTATTAGTTGTGTCAGAATACCTTAGATCAGAGGCTCCCTCAAGGAATTAGCCCAGCACATTAGCCTGAAGTGAGAATCAGCAACTTCCTGAGATCGTTTGACTCTGTTTGAACAAGGAATAAATGGATGGTGTCTACACTGTTTAAGCCAGTCAACATATCTTGAATACCATTAATTTCTAATACATGTTTTGCTAATTAATAGTCTGGTAATTTTACGTATTAATTACACTACTCGGTAAAGCCCTCGGGTGGATTGAGATTTGGATAGCTGTGGAGGATCCTGAGATGATTGTTGAGATTCGTCCTGTCTTTTCTTGACTCCCAGGTTCATTGACTTCAAATTGGTATCTTAAAATCAGACATGGTGGAAGTATTTACACTGTGGAAATTGGTAATAGCTCCCTACCACCCAGTTTTTAAACATTTACCAGCACATTATTGGGTAGCTGACCTCTGGAATGTGGCTTTCTGATAAAACCTTGGCTGACAACCTCACCCTCATGGCTACCTTCATACTGGCCATGGTTAATCCTGGCTGCACTTTAGAAATTACCTAGGGGGCTGTAAAATAATACTGATTCCCAGGTTCCCCTTGGTAGAGATCCATGTGATTGGGGGGAGGCTTGGCTATTAGGATATAAGTAAAGCTCACCACGTGATTCTAACCTGCATTCACACCTGCTTACCATACTATGCCACACATTCTAACAGTCCCACCAAAAGGTAATGGCCAAACCAGGGTTAGTACCAGGCCTGCTGCCCTTAGCCTAGAGCTCTGGGCAAAAGGAGGAAAAGTGGAAAACATGTTGCCACTTCTTCTGAAGCTTCCATGTTTGCAAATTGGCTCAGGATAAGCCCTAGTGCATGGGGTCAGTGTTGGGGTTGCAGGTGGTGAGGTCCAGTGAAGGAGCCCAGGAGCCAGGGAAGGTTGTGCTAGCTCCTTTGCAAGGAAGGTTCACCTTAGCCTTTAGGGCCTCTTACTGGGCTCAGAGAGAGCTAAGGGTACCTGTTCAGAAGCTTGTGTGTCACCAGGGAATATCTGAGAGATGAGAGAAAGTGCCGCTGGCTGGAGAGGGCAGAAGGGAAGAACGGAAGTCTGGGGCAACTGGAAGGAAAGCCTGATGGAAACCCAGATAAGGGAGGTGTGTAGGTAGCTAGGGTTCTAGTTTAAGTACAGAGAGTTGAAAGGAGGCTGGGAGGGTAGTAACAAAAGGTGGCTTTACTAATAGCATACCTAACAGAGGAAAATAAACTATGAAACAGCAAGTAAGAGAAATAAACTCACAGCACACAATTGTCCCTCTGAAGAGAAAAAGGATCCACAGCATAACTGCCCCCTTTGTTTTGTTTAATTAAAATCACTTCTTATTTCTAAGAATTCTGAGCAGGAATGGGGGGGGAGGCGTACAAGCTCACTGCTCTAACTTTCTGCCCCAGTTTTCTCCAGCATGAGATTCCAAGGACTCAGATAAGCTGGAAAGAATACCTGCAATCCCTTAGCTGCTTTTCGTATCATATTATCATTATTATCTGATAAATAAAGCAGAGAGAGAAAAAAGCTATTTTTACCAGCCACTTTTCTAACTGCCTGGCATTTTTTTTAGAGGTAGAGTCTCACTTTGTCACCCTCAGTAGAGTGCTGTGGCGCCACAGCTCACAGCAACCTCCAGCTCTTGGGCTTAGGCAATTCTCTTGCCTCAGTCTCCCAAGTAGCTGGGACTACAGGCGCCTGCCACAATGCCCAGCTATTTTTTTGTTGCAGTTTGGCCGGGGCCGGGTTCAAACCCACCACCCTGGGTATATGGGGCCAGCACCCCACCCACTGAGCCACAGGTGCCGCCCCACTGCCTGGCATTTTCACTCCTTCCTCTGTGCCATGGCCACTCACTCACTCTTTTTCTCTAGCTCTCTTTCTTTCTTGGGAAAATAAATGAACTTTGTCCTTCTTTCTATTTTAATCCCTGCATGAGAATTCTTTCTCCAACCCCTGGGGAACACCTAGTAAGTTTCCACCCTAACAGGTAAGATGCTAAACTATCTCTCCAGGGGATGTGGAGGGTTACAAACCTCTAAGGGTGGGGGCAGAGACTAGCACCTTGAAGGGTAGATGTGAGACTCTACTTCCTAAAGAGGAATAAAAAAACTTCCTCCTTAAAGGACAGAAAGGACAACTTTTTTTTTTTTTGAGCTAGAGTACTGTGGCGTCACAGCTCATAGCAACCTCAAACTCTTGGGTTTAAGCTATTCTCTTGCCTCAGCCTCCCAAGTAGCTGGGACTACAGGTGCCCATCACAACGGCCAGCTATTTTTTTTGTTGCAGTTGTCGTTGTTTAGTTGGCCCAGGCTGGGATTGAACCCGCCACTCTCGGTGCATGTGACTGGCACCATAACCTCTGTGCTATGGGCACTGAGCCTAAAAGGACAACTTTTAACAACGTGGAAAGATATCTTTTTGGTGCCTCCAGAAGAAGCAGGCAAAAAAAACCCCCAAATTATCTTTTTGAGCTTCAGTTATTCATCTGAGAGTAACTTGCATCAGTCTCTTGTTCCATTCCTCTACTCCACAAACACCCTGGCAGTTCTTGCTTTTTTTGAAACCAGAAAACTGGTTTCTTTTTTACCTTTCCAGGCAGGTCGCTGCCTCCCTCCCCACCTCCAGCCTTGCTTTCTTCCTGCTATAGCTGAGCCCTGGGGGCTGCTAAGTCTGGTCTGAGTATGTGTCTGCAGAAAGCTTGGGAGCCCACTGTAGGGGTTGTGGATAAGGGTGTCATTCCTGGAATCGCCACCAGGGACCCCACCCACCACTGCTTGAGCTCTTGACCTCTGGACCATGTGTACAGTGATTGCTTGGTTCTCAAGCCCCAGGGTGAGCTAAGCCTGGGAGACAGGAAAAGCAACAGTGAGTAAAACTGGGACCATCTATTGTGGGAAACAGATTCACAGCCACCTCTGGTTCTCAGGCTGAGAAGAAGCCAGACCCAGAGGAGACTGGGGGCAGACCCGGCCTGAGTGTGCAAGAAGGGAGCTGCCTACCCAACTTGGCTTGAGGACTGGGTTAGGGGAGGGCTTTCCTGGGAGCAGGGCTGGGATAGCACCAGGCGCCACAAAAGCGGATTTCTGAGATTGGGTGAGGAAAGGCCTTCAGCAGATGTTACAGGAGGCAACTCCAGACCTCCTCTACGCGGGCCCTTTGGCCCCACCCTGGCATGTTGTACCTTCCTAGATGACATCCTCCACCCTTCTCTGGCCGAGCAACTCCAATTCCTTATTCCATGAACGTTTTGCACACCCATTTGTACTTTTAACACCTTGACAGTCAATTCTTGCCTCTCTCCCCTCACTCGGTCTTCCCTTTTCGCAACAGTGGGAAGCCAGCATCTCTGCATACCCCGACTGGGCACGCTCGCTCTCCCCCGACTCTCCTCTGGTCCACACTCTCTCACGCCCCCCTTTACTAACACTGGCATTTCCAGAGTAGCAGGTGAGCTCATTTGCAAAAGCTTCGCCCCCGTCTCCTCCCTCCCTCAGTCTCCTCTTGGGTCTTGACCCACAGTCCCGCCCCTGGCCCGCCCCCTCTCGGAGGCCGGGCTGCCGCCTGGCTCCCATTGGCTGCCGGGGCTGGCCGGCTCCCTGGCCGGGGCAGTGATTGCGGCGCGCCACTGTCAGTCCCGGGGAGAGTGCCGGTGGCGGGGCCGGCCCGGCAGCCGCAGGTGGGGCCTGGAGCATTGGCGCTGGGACCAAGCTTGGGAGCCCCGGGGGCTCCGATAACCCCGGATAAAACGCGCGGGGAGCGCCCAGGATGCCCCGCGGGGACTCGGAGCAGGTGCGCTACTGCGCGCGTTTCTCCTACCTCTGGCTCAAGTTCTCGCTCATTATCTACTCCACAGTGTTCTGGGTGAGTGACTCCCTCAGGGCCTGGGGTGCGGGTCTGGAGACCCACACTCTCTCAACCGCCCCCTCGCTGGCGCGTGCTTGGGTCCCGACTTAGCAGCTCCAGGGAAGGTGCAAGGAGGGCGCGCTGGCTCCTCGTACCGCTCTCCCTGGAACAGGGAAATTCTGGTGGCTGGAGCGCAGTCTGAATTCCAGCTATCGGGTTGGGAGTGTTAGAGCCAGTTGCTGACGGACCGAGTAAGTACCACGTGGCTCACCTGTGTACACTTGGTGGGCGGTTTGCCAGCTGAGTAGGCCGTGGTTATCTCCCTGCTGCGCCTATCTCGCCTGCCAGGTACTGCCGAGTTTGCTTCCCCATCGGCTTGTGGAGAGTCAGACCCTGTGGTGGTGGTTGGGAGACTTGGATTCTGGGACTGCTCCTGCTCTTTCCTTGCTGATGCCCCTGAACTAGACGCTTGCCCTCTGCCTCTTGGTTTCCTCTTTGTTAGAAGGAAGATGTGTGCCTTTTGTTTGGAGTGGAGGAGTCCCCCAGAACATGTCTCTGGTGCTCCTAGGTGCGCAGTTACTGTTTCAGTTACCCTTGGCTTTACCTCCTCTTCTGCCTTGTGGGGGGTGGGGGCAGGATGGTAGTGGTTGTACTTGAACCAGACTTTGAATCCTCCTGCTTCCGCTTTCTGGTTGAGTGATCCTGGGGGAAGTTACTTTGATTCTCTTGGCCCTAGTTTCCTCCTCTGCAAATGGCGACAGTAATTATTTTCAACTTTTAGGATAATTGTGGAGATTAAATGAAACAGGCCAAGTGTGTGCCACGCCAGAAGTGTGAGCCATTATTATCATTGTGGGTAGGAATCTGGCCCCCTGTGGTGTAAGTTGCCCCCATAGACTGGTTTCTGTAAGGGCATATTAGATTGGCCTGGGGCCTAGTTTAGAAATGAGGACATCTTTCTGCAAAACAGCTCTATCCCTGCCACTCTAGAATAGCTTCCTGGCCCCAGTGTGCCCCAAGGGCAGACTTGTGCAGGGACCCTAGGTAGGTGACTGACACCTCAGGCTCCACAAAACACCTGCTCTTTCCTGGTGTGCTCCTCAGCCCCTTGCTGGGTCTATTCTGTTGGCAGGAGCTGCTGGATTTGCCATCAGGACTGGCTTTCCCTTGAGGCCATTGTGGGTGTGACCTTGCCTACTAGGAGATCCAGATTCTAGTCTTGCTCTGTTACTGACTCACTGGGTTATCTTAGACAAGTTACTTCCCAGTTCGGGGCCTCAGAACTTTTCATTGTCCGTCTAGAAAACTAGCTTAAGGCTGGCTCCCAATCCCCTGACTCTAGGTATCGTGGAAGAAAGATGGGCAGTGTGTTTGAGGGATGGCAGATGGAGCAAGGACACCCTGATGGAAGCTACAGGAAAGCAGAAAGTTCCGTGTAGGATTGGGGTGGGGAGGATCTGATCTTTAATTTACCCAAAGTTGCATAAGAATCAACTGGAGAGTTTTGAAAAAACACTACAGATTCCTGTGCCCTGGCATAGGCATTTGTTTAAATTTACTTACGCTCCCCAGGTAACTTGAGTGTGCAGTCAGGATTGGAAACTGCTACTCTAGATGGTCTCATAGGTTCTGTAAGTCAGCAGGGATTCTTTACCTGCTTCTTGTCTGGCCTCATGAGCTCTTCTCTCTGTTGGTCAGAGTTGAAAGAGGAGAGGGTAAGTAAGGTTGATGGGTAGAGAGGTAGGAAGGTGGGGTTACGTTTCGGGTTTCACCCCTTCCCTTGACGTGTCATCACTGACTGGTCTCTTAACCTCCCTACATTTTCTCATCTGTCGAGTGGATAAGTGATACTTTGCCCTGCACCTCACTGAATTGTTTTTAGGATGAGTGATATGGGGACAGAATGAGCTGTACACAGGTAAATTATGCAGTTAAATAAAACCAAACTCAGAATTTCAAGGCTTTGTTCTGTTGCTGTCCTCTACCTGTCCTGTGGCCCTTGCTTTGCTTTTCTTGGGCAGGGCAGGACTCAGGACTTGGAATTCTTCCTCTACCAACTGAGGTTGCCTCACCAAATCCTTGACTCCCATCCCTGGAAATATTTCTGCTTAAAAATCTCCCCACCTATGCCAAGAACTCAGCCACCTGCCAACTCTGACAGGGCAGCTTCCAGGTGCCAGAATTTGACTGCAGGGCGGAGGCCCAGTATAAGTAAGTAATTTGTTCTGGCCTGGGTTTGCTGTTAATTGGAAACCATTTACAAGAAAGCCCATTATCTCTGATGCAATCCCTTGGGGGGGGGGGAGAGCAAGGGTTAGCTGCTTTATCAGCCCAAAGTGCTGACAATTGCATCTCAGTTTTTTGGGTTTGGAGGGGGCCCTACGTTTTATCACAGCCATGCACTTTCTGCAGGACTTTTTGCTGTAAAAATTATTGATAGAAAATGCATGGATATGCTACAAAATTTAAAAGTGGAAAAGGGTAGTGGTCAGGAACAAGCATCTCCCCTGCCCTATCCATAGAGGACCTCTGTTATCAGTTTCTTGTGATTATTTTGAGATCTCCTAGCAAGGGATTTATCCTAGATACAAACATGTATATATATATATCTCATATACAGTTAAACTCTGGAAGTTGACCACCCAAGGGGCAGTAACAAACTGGTCAACATATGGAGGTGGTCAACATAAGGAACTAGACCTACAATGCTGATATGCACGTGTGGTACATGTCTATGAAAATTAGGTTAACTTGAGCAGGTGGTCAATTATAGAGGTTCTACTGTATATGTTTTTTCACATAGGTAGCACGTTATACAAGAACTTTTCACTAAAATTGAAATCCACATGAATGATAGGGATCTGCTAGGGGCTGCCTCGATCTGTTTGATGGTTGTGTAGGCTTCACTCTTGCTATGCCAACTTTATTTAACCCTTTCCCTCAGGTTGTTTCCAGTCTTTTGTTACTGGGAACAGCGGTATCTTTGAACAGAGATGTCTTTGTGTGTGTCAGGGTCTCTCTGAGTGTGTCATTTGCATATGCGTGATTGTTTGCAGGGTAATTTCCAGAAGTGGAATTGCTGGGTTAAAGGGTATGTGAATGTGTAATATATCTAAAGAAATGCACCTCTACAGCTCGATGAATTTTCACAGAGTGAACACACACGTGCAGTCAGCCCCCCAGTCACTCATCAGCTCCCAGATAAACTAGCGAACGGTTAGTAGAAGCCAGGAGCCCCTTCAAGTCCTCCTCTAGTCACTACCCTTTCTCTACAGGGGTAACCACCATTGGATCATCTAGCAGTGTAGAATAGCTTTGCCTGTGGTATGTGCAATTTAAATTTTGTTGTCCAATTCTTCTACATAAAGGTTATGCTAATTATATTACTTACTTAATATCTTTTTTAAACTGGAATTTATTTTTACAAGGAGGCTTTATATCACTACCACCAATGGGAAACCAATGCCCCTTGTCACAGATAGCTGGCAGTAGTTAAAGTAAATATAACACAGTGAAAGCAAATATCCTAGCAACATGTGGTTGTTGAAGGCCTGTGACCCTGCCGTGCACCCTCACGTTCACCCTCTCTGTTCAAAAGGCAGGTTGGCAAGTTTTTAAGTGGCTTAAAGAGAAACTGGTACCCAAACTGAGACTTGCTCCTTGATGTGACTGGAGGGTTCACAAGGGATTGAACAAGGAAAACTTCTCAGTCTGTGAATCAATGTCAATGTGACCCTGAACCCAGATAGTGACCTCCTGCCCCCTACTCAAGGGCTCTCTGGTTTTCAGGGGGGCCCAGGAGGTTGTGTTTCAGGGACGCTTAGCAGATGTGGCATGTGCCTCCAGGTCTCGTCATCCTTAATCGAGTGTTCCTTGCTTCTTCCAGTATGTCACTGAGCTGTCTCCATGAGAAATGCATTCACCCAGAGGCACTTAGAGTCTCCACTTTCTACCATTAAGGGTGAATCATTCTGATAGATGTGACCTCAGCCTGTTGGGGACGTACCTCTAATTTTAGCACTGTCCACAGGGTATCCTAGAGATCTGTTTACAGGACTGTTTTTCCTTGCTGGTTTGGGTACTCCTGGAGATCAGGGGTATAGATCATTCATACCCTTTTCTGAATGCCAGGCCTGAGCACACAGTGGGTGCATAGGGAAGGCTTGTTGGGTGATGGTAAGTCCTTCCTGTGCCTAGAAGACGGGGCTTTAACGTCCAAGTGTGTAGCCAGCAGTGGTCAGGCTTGTTGAACCCTTGAATTTGCAAAGTGGGCTGCGCTGATCAAGAAGCCTTGGCTCTTTAGAAGGCAAGCCTGTGGCTTTGACAACAGGTAGGGTTTTCAGTTGGGTAAGGGTGTCAGTGTTTGGGGTATTGGCTAATGAGGGGTAAAAGGACTTGGTGGGGGTGGAGGGCAAATAGGAAGAAAGTTGGGATGGGTAGGTGGTGGTAATAATGAATGCCAGAGGCAACATGAACGCTTTCTTGCCTTCCTAAGGATGGAGCTGTTTACTGGAGGATGGCCTGTGATTCTTTATACTTTCCTATAGTTTAATGGTTGAGTGTGGACTCTGTACCAGTCTGGGTTCAAATCCCAAGTCTGGCACTAACAGGTTAAGTGACTTAGGCATTAGCTTCCACATGCCTCAGTTGCCTCATCTATAAAATGGGTATTAGAACCTACCTGAGACTTGCTGAGAAGATCTGAGAAGATGGATTAACATATAGAAAGAGCTTAGAGCAGTGCCTGGCACATGACAAACACTTTGTCAACTGCTGACAGATTAGCTTTTCTTTTCCTATCTTCTTTTCCAGTCCCGGTGCTATAGAGCTAAAGACCAAGAATGAGAAGGGCCCTTAAAGATACCTCTAGTGCAACCTTTTTATTTTACTGGGGAGAAACCAGAGCCTTGGAGAGAAGTGAGTTGCCTGAGAGCCCATGGCAAGTTAGAGTCCAGGTTGTCTGATTCTAGTTTCTTCACTGGGATCCCTTTTATATTCCTTCCTGAGGTCAGGGTGAG